CGTGGGTGCTAGCCAGAGCTGCTGTTCGGGGAACACGAAGAGGATACTTCTAAGCTGAATACCACAGCGAAGGGATCTTTAAGTTCATTTTTTTTTCTCTGTCTTGGTATTGAAGAAGTCATGGTCACATGTGGGAGAACTGAGCAGAAAGAAAACACTGTGTTGCTCTCTGGCTATAGAAAAGCCAGAGCACTAATCAGCACTAAAATGTGAGAATCTGAAGATTACCCTGTGAAGACTGAGCCTTAAAATCTTTCTTTTTTCTTTTGTTTTGTTTGAGATGTAGCAAGTTTCTGCTGAGCGTGAATCAACTGTGGTTTCTTTAAGGTTTACAAATTGGTTAGGTTTTTACAGGAACATGGGAAGTGTTTGCTAAGCACAGGATTCACCTTCCTGACAAGTCCCTACTACAAGTTTTCCCGTGAAATTAATAGTAAACAAATGGAGAAGCCCTTCGTTTTTAACCACGGTCAGCATGGTGCATTTAATGGTTAGTTTTGCAATTTCCAATTTGAAAGGTTTTAGTATTTCCTTTTGTAAAACTTAAAAATGAGCAGAGAGTATTTTGTTGATTATGTGTGTTCTTTTTCTACATCTATAGTGGTAGAACTGGACTGATGCTTATTTTTGAAAAGGGCACATAGCAGGTGGCTGAGACTTAGAGGAAAAGCATCTTTTCTGAGTTAGTCCTGCATGTATATTTATTCCATATAGGAATGCAGCTTTGAAAACTTTTCAGGTGGGAGGAGACTATTTTTTTCCTTCGAGAATTCAAGATATATATATATATTTTTCATCTTCCTGTAGAATGTTAATACTTGTGAGACTGATCAGTACTTCATAGAAGGTATTTTCCATTTGTTGAGAAGAACACTTTCCCATTTAGGTTTTAGCACCTTACTGTTTTCTAGTGAAATTCCAGTTCTTTCTTCTATGTGATGTCTTGCACATTCATGCAAGCCATGAGACAGATTCTGACTGTGAATAAAAAGTGTCTGGGGAAGAAAGGATATCTCGTCTCAGAAGAAGGCTAAAAAGAACATTTCTGGCATTTGTCAAGGTTAATATGTCCTGGGACTGTTGAGTCTGCCTGTTTGCTCTGATTTGTAAGCTTTGTAAGATACCAAGTTTTATGATAACTAAATACACTCTGAGACAGTAAACTTTTTTTTTCACTGAAGAGTTTTGCTTTGCAGATACTCAAGAATTTGCAGAATGTCAGAAACATTAGAGGAGTTCATCTTGAAGGAAGATAGACCTATGGTCTTCCAAGTATCCTCCAATATGCTTAAGTAAAAAAGTAAAAATGCTCTATGTTTTCAGACTGCACAACAGAATAAGAACAAACAACTTCTTTCAATCTCTGCATTAGATTAGATTTATCTGTATTTGATATATTATTTAAAACAGAATAATGGTTTGCATCTGAAGAAAACTACACCTGTTTTCTTCATTTGTCAATGTAAATTAGCAATATGGGTAAAATCAATTGACAATATGTCACTTATGGGTAAACAAAACCAAAACAAAATCATTTAGTGAATATGCAAAATAAATCCAATTAACATTCCATAGGTGAAACAAATCCCCCCCGCCCCCCATTTTTTTGTCCATAGTTGCCAGCTCCTTTAATTACAAAAGCAAAGCCACAACTGATAGCAAGTTACACGGAAGGCTTAATTTAGTCTGTCAAGGTACTTTTCAAACCTTAAAACAAATACCTTCAGATATGTGTACGTTGTGGTAGCAAGATGCCTATTTAGGTACAAGGCTTCCAAGTTTAACGCATTTGTGCTCCAGACTGATGAATTCTACTTAGTTAGGGTTCTAATTTTCCCTATACATAGATTTCCACGGAAGAAACTCCATTGATTACCTTAGGATGAAATCTGTTGTGGTTCTTCCCCTCCACAGTCTTTGCACTGTATTCAAAATTTAAAGACTTTGGTAGTAAATGCCATTCTTTTTTTTTGGTTCTACTTCTTTTGATGAAAGCTATTAACAAAAAAATCACTAATGTAATCTCAGATTTAAAATCAATGTCAGTCCTAAATTTATAACATTTTAGCTCTACTGTGTTAAACTATAAATAGCTTACGGAAAAGGAATGGGAAAGTGGATGGTGCCAAGATTGTTTTACAATTGGCAGAGGAACCAGAAGTTGTTTAAATTTGGTTATGCCCCAGTGGGTCTCTGAAAACATAGTCTGTTTGCTTATTTTTGAAGTAAGCTTAAGTTAAAAGTCATTTAATTGAGGAACATATTACAAAAAAAAAAAAACCCTCAGTTTTATTTTATTAATCCATGTGTTTTACAAAAAATTATCAGGATAGGAATTTCAAATTATATTGAGGAATTCATATTTTCACTCTTTAAGGCAATTTCCCATTTTTTCATATTTTTAAAACTTGATTTTTAGAAAAATAAATATTTTCCACAAGCCACAGAATGCTATTGGCACAAGATGAAGAAATTAAATCAATTACTGTGTTCTCATTACTGGCTGACACACACAAAGTTAAGGTTGTGAATAATAGTGAGAAGCAAATTAGATTTTTGGCACCTAATTTAATTATTTGAAGTAATTTTAGATGGGCACTGTAATATTAATCCTGAGAAGTCTGTGATTATGACTTTGGAAAAATCATGAATTTTAAAATGAGGTACCAATGTAGTTTGTTCTTATGTGATGAGGCATTTTGGAGTATTTTTTTTCCTTTAAGTTTTTCTGTACAATTATAACTGCTTGGAAATTCACTTTTCTGTTAGTTCATTTTGGCTTAAAGAACTGGAGGAACTTGAACTTTTTCATAAGCATGAAATTTTGCAAGATATGTGATGAGGGCCCAGATTCAGATCAAGTTTCTCTGTTTTGGGTCATCCTAATTTTTGTAGAACTTGTGAGGAGCAGAAAAATGTCTAGCTTGTGTGTGTAGGAGGACTTCTGTGTGTGGCTTCAATCGGCTGGAACAGCTCTGCAGGATTTTACCCTCTTTCAGAAAAAAATACTGCTAGTGGACAAATGGAAATATGAAAAGGCTTCATTCAAATGCTGACTTCTTACCAGAGGATTAAAAAAAGAGCATCAAAATTGAATTCAATGTCCTCTGCTTCAGCCGTACAGCATAGCAATATATGCTGCATAACCTCTTTTTTTTATATATATTCCTTAGGTTTTTTTTTTTCCTTTTTTGATTTAGTTCACATTTTCTTTCTCCTTCAGAAAGACTGCATGAAAAATCTTGCTGTTTGTGGGTGCAATAAAATACGATGCCTCTGCCTCCCAGAAAAAAAATGGGCGAGAATGCTCACGGACTGTGGGGCCTGTGGGTTTTATGACAGAGATTCAAAGCATGTTCCAGATGGCAGAAAAGCCGATACTATCCTCGTGGCTGAGGAGATTCCAGAGGCAGGAGAGAAGCTCAGGACGGGTGGTTCGCGGGTCAGGAGGGATCCTGCTGAGCGCCCTGCAGAGGAGGTTTGTGCTGAGGGCGCTGTGGGGCCCAGGCCTCTGCCCTGGCTGCACCTCTGCCCTGGCTGCACCTCTGCCCCCTGTGCCCGGGCTCCCTGTGAACACCAGCAAGAGCAGCGGCAGAGGAAACACCCCACGGGGTTCTAACTCTTCAGGGGATCTCTGTGCCCCCGTGGTGCGAACAGCATCTCGGGGGGAGCAGCTCGGGCCTCCCTGCGGCCTGTCCCTGCCCAGGGCTCGCGGGCCGGTCTCTACAGCCTGGCTGCAGCACCTGGAGAGGCAGAGGCAAAGACAGAGAGGAAACACTCCTACTTTCTAGCTGCACTAGGAAATAGTTTTGTTATTTCAGCCAGTACTTTTTCAAAGGCAAGAACTGAAAAATCAGCCCCTTCACCTGCGATCAAATGACGCGTTGATGGCTGAAGCATTTGGTGATGTGGATAATAACACAGTACACAAGGTCACTGGTGTAAGTCTAGCTCGAACTGAGACACCAAAAACTCTGCTGCTCTTTAGTAGTGCGTGTGAGAAAAGTTGCTGTTGCTGGCATTTTAGCGGTAGCTGGTGTTATTGTAGAAGACAAAGCTAAATATGCTTTTATCTCTAAAGAGTGATTATTCATTGACACAGTGTATAACAGCAACGCAGTGACTTTCCTGGGACACGGCTATTCGTTTAACCCTGTTTTTTTTTTTTTTCCAATGTACGTAATTTGCACCCCCAGTTTTGGATTGTTGTGAAAGAAGACACTTGGAAGAATTAAAAAAGAATAAAGATTTGAAATCGTAAAGTTCTGCTTCAAAATACAGTATCATCTGTGAAGTCTTCTTGTTTGAAGAATCAGCTGATTAAATGTGTTCGTAAAAAGTGATCTGTTTTTAGTTCATTATGATAAAAACAATGATAATGTATTATCAGTTATTTGTTTCTTTTCAGTAATTCCCTTGTCAGCATTAGAGGGCTTATTGAGAACTGTGTGAGTGTGTCAGCATATCAAAGGGGTTTTGGTTGTTTCCATTAACCTAAAATTCTAAGGCTTAACTGTATAAGATTAATTTATAATTGGATCATTAACTGATAACATGAAATTGTTAATAAAAACAAGCAACAGAAAGGGTCTTTCTGCTCAGTGCTAGAGAATGAACCCAAAGTCCCTGGTACAAATGATGAAGAGGAGGATGAAGGAGAAGAGTTTGACTTTGACAGTGGAGATGAGATACCGGAAGCAGACAGACAAGCCCTTATGCCTCTTCCTTCTGATTCTGGAAATAACACCGAGCATGAGGAGGCCAACGCTGCAGGTGGGTCCCATAGGCTCTGCCTCCCCTAGGCTAAGTGAAGTTCCCATCGCTGGAGTGCGGGAGCCTTTCTCTGATTATGTAATTAAATATTTGTAAAAGTGCCATGGAAAAAATATACAAAGATTTCTGTGGAAAGGCTCTACAAGTTGTGCTGCAGGGAAACTTGGATACCCTTGCAACTGCAGCTGCACACGGGTGAACTGTGCTAAGCCTCCTTGACAGCCAGCATGCTGGTTGCTGATCAGAAGGAATCAATAGAATTGGAATAAGGGAAGTTTATTCTTAACTCGATGTCTTATTTTGTTAAACATTACGACCCTTAGACTTTGTTATAGCACACACAGACGATCCCTGCACTGGGGTATATTCAGGAAATCCAGATCTGCTTAGACCTTCAGCAGCTAATTTTGCTGACTTCAATCCACTTTTCTTTTGTAATCAGAGTCTTTGTGCTTGTGGCAACTAGAAACAGATAATTCTTCAGGTGACTGCTCAGTTTGACAACCTGGAACTTATCCACTGCCTTACTCTAAAAATTGTTATTGTTGCTCCCTCACCTTTTTGTGAGGTTACAGTTACATCTCATAAGCTTTTAATTACTTGCCTCCACTTCTGCAGCTGTTTTTAAAGTGGCTTTTGGTTCCGCTGTACCTTAGCTAGTTTCAGGAGATTTCAGGAAATTTGTATAACAAAGTAATTTACTTCTAAGGAGGAAAACTTGGAAAGTTACTTTCTTTACCCTTTTCTCAGCAGAATTTTTCAGGAATGTTCTTTAAAGAGTGAACTTCTATTGAACTTTTTCTTCTCCTCGTAGCTATTACTAAATTATTTCTTGTGTAAGTTAGACTTTATTTATAAAGCAAGCCTTAAATATGAAAAATACAATCATCTTTTGTTTGTTTTTCATCTTTCAAATAAAGGGACTGATAATCTAGTGAAAAATGAGGAAATACAGACGTCACAGTCTGCTGCACAGGGCACTCCAACGAAAGTAAACCCCTATTCAGTCATAAATATTTCACCAATCCAAGAGAATGATCCATCCTCATCACCAGAACCAAGCCCTCAAGAGGAGAGTGCGAGTCCCAGCTCATGCAGTGGATATTCTGTTCCTGTGCCCTGTGGCTATGCTGTGCCATCCAATTTACCCCTGATACTGCCAGCATACTCCAGTCCTGTCATAATACGCAGCGTTTCTGTGGATGAAGAAGGTACTGTATCTGCCAGATTTATTTTATTCAGAGGGAGCTTGTTTTCTTGCAGTACTAGGGCTGAGATACCTAACTAAAGATGCATAAGAAAAAAGCATATACACAGAGTCATTTCTTTCTCAATGTTTTACTTAAATGACCTTTGGTTTTCCAACACTGCATTATTACAGATGACATGAGCCAGGACTCTTGTTTCATTTTGCCATTAAGAATGGTTAAAGTTAAGCACCCCTCCCTTAGTGATATGAAATAATTTCCAGATAAATAATTCAGTACTCAAGCCAAATGTTTTTTCAAAAACCTTTATCATGCTTTAGATATGGCAGAGCTCTTGTCCTTTCTATCCCATTATACTCATTCCTGTTTTCTTTTCAATCCCAGTGGATTTAAAGTAGCTATGTTTTTTTCTCCTTGATGATTTTGCAGATTCTACTTGTCCTTTAGTTTATAGTCTATTTTTAAGATAGAAGGGGGAGACTGGAAGGAAAACAACTATGTTTTGTTTAGAGAAAAAGGAATAATCCCCGTTTTGTAACCAAAAATTGTCAACCTAATATTGAGAGAACAGGAAGAACAGAAAACTTCCCATGCCATGTCCTTTTTCCTTTCTTGAATTTTGAACATACTAGCTTTTAGCTAAGCAGCAATTCTATTGCAATTCCATACATAGTGATACACTTTCATGCATCCATTGATGTCCACTGCCATTAGTTATACTAGCATGTAAAAACAAATGTCTTTGTGTGTTTTTTATTGCCTGTAAAGAAATATGTTAGAAATAAGAATTAAATGCATCAGACATTTCCTCTTAGACTATGCTGCTCTATCTCTTTGATTTAATTATTTCATTCATGAAAATAAAATCTGTTAAAATTTTTAGACATGTTAATGGGATAAAAATGTTGTACAGAAGCAGAGGATTCTTAAGCAGTTTTAGTAAAATCAGGTTCATATGCTTAAATATTCCATTTAAGCCACACCTACATTTTATTTCAACTACTCTGATAATCCTGTTTTGTTTCTGCTTTGCAGGTACGCAGTCGGCAACTGAAGAATGCCACTGTAGCTCTGCAAACTCAGAGGATCCCCAAATCAGGTGGTTCAAATCAGAATGCAAATTAATTATATACAATATCTTAATTCCTGAGAAAGCTTGAATTTAATAAGCCAAACATTTAAATTTTCATTTTTGACATTTCCTTTCATTTTGTTTATTTTCATTTTCCTAGTTCCGTTGCTGCTTATTTACCAAAAACACACTGACTGGAGTCTAGTATGTACAGGCATTCATTATGCTTTTGAAGGAATGAGGTTTAACTTTATGGTATCATAGCAGTTTTGGCTGTAAGAGACTTCTGGGAATCTTGTAGTCTCACCTCCTACTTTACAGCGGGACTGCTGCTGACATGAGATCAGATCAGCTGTGGTTTTGGTAGCATCTTAAAAAATCTCCAAGGATGGAGATTCCACTGCATTTCTGAACAATCTCTTCGCTGCTGCACAACCTTTTTGCTGAACAAACTGTATTTCCCAATCTGCAATGATCTGCTGATCATTCTCCCTGGTTATGTGATCTGTCCCCGCAAACAAAAAGCATGACTCCATCACCTCTGCAGCTCGCAGAGGGCTGTAGGCAGCTATTGGGTCACCCTGTGCCTCTTTTCCATCAGCCTCTTCAGCCTGTCTCCATGTAGGCCCCGTGCTTTAGTCTCCTGACCATCTTGGCAGCCCTCTGCTCTGCCTTCCCCGATTTCTCCGTATGCTTCTTGAGCCAAGGAGCTGCAAATCCTGAACACACTATTCCAGGTGCGGTCTCCCCAGTGTTAAAAAGAGGGAAAAGCTGCCTCCCTCTGGCTGCTGGCTGCTTGCCTCCTCATGTAGTACTGTGTGTCTTCAGTCTTTTTTGCAGTAAAAGAACAGCTCTCACTTCATGGCTTTCAACAAGATAGTTTTCCGTGTTCTGGTAGAATAATTCAAAAAGAAAAGATTTCCATGGGAGGGGAAGCAATTTCAATTTCTTGACTAAAATGATCAGAGTAGAGTATTAGACGCTGAATTTCTTATTGGAGTAGTACTTTTTTTTTTTTTTTAAATAATCTTCCGTCTCAGAGTGAAAACTTCAAGGCTGTGGGTCTGTGGATTGTTTTGTTTTAATTATCTTGTCTTTATGGTAGTTTCACAACAATATAATGTAGCTTTCAATGCTTTTATTTTGTGGGGATTTTTTTTTCAAGTGAAGATAACCAGGTCAGGAGAGAGGATGATGCTCTGGCCAAGTGGGTTGCAGATCCAGCAAATACAGCTTGGATGGAAAGTAAGTATCAGTGAACACTGAAGTACAACTCTAGAAGAAGATTAGTTTTAAGTTGTGATCAGCACTGTGCATGTGTAGATATATGTGTGTGTATGTATGTATGAATGTGTATATATGCATACACACACATGTACATTTTACAGATCTATATTCACTTTTATTTTGTTTTATTTTATTTTTAAATATGCTCCAGAGCCAAGTTTAACCAATTACAAATATTTAATAGTGTAATATTTTAATGTTTTGATATTAATATTAAATTTTAATATTTTTCATGTTGTAATTAAAAGCACTGAAGCACTTTCCAAAGTCAAGGGAGTCATGTGCCACATATCCAAATCTCTTGGTGCTATTGAATAAATACGTGCCGGGAATTTGCTGAAGTTCTGTCTCCTGTCTGGCTGTGTGTTTGCTCTTCCCATAGTTTCACAATTATATTTTTGGAGAAGGTGGAAGGGATGAAACCCTTTCTTAATGCTTCTCCTTGGCTCTTTGCTGGCTGGGTGTGCTTTAGGCCAGAACAGAGACCATATAGTTTGAGGGCAGATTGTCCAGGCTATCATCAGGTCAGACTAACTGAGGGTTCCCACTGGGCTGGAGGTTGCTCTTTAATGGTGTTTGGAACAAATGAGAAATTTATGTCATCTTCTCAAACTGGCTGTTAACTTAGTAGCATGATCATTACGTTATTTACAGTTTTGGTTCTTTCTTTAGAGCCGATTAGTTAGGCAGCAAGCAGTGCTCAGTAAGCACAGAGCATACCATCATGCTGTGAAAAGGAGGCAGAAATGTTGGCTGTGAAAATGGGATTCTGTTTTCAGGCTCCCAAAGGTTATCATAAACAACACAGTGAACAATAAAAATCTCAAATATCTTAGCACAAGAATTTACAGTGACAGTAATGATATTTGATTAATGAGGATTAGATGTACTAGGAAACTGCTGGTGGAGAGTGGGTCATATCTTCAATATATTAATATATACCAGTGTGACTAGAATTCAATATTTGTCCCAATAAATTGTATGTGATTTCTCACTTCTTTCTTGTTTTTTTTTTTTTGCTTTTAGACCCAGATGAAGTAATTTATGATGATGTGCCAAATGAAAATTCAGACTCTGAGCCAGGTTTGAGATCTTTGTAATATGTATGATATAGATTTTTTTTTTAAGTTGAAAGAAATGTACTATGACCGATGCGAATGTATATTGAATAGACACGTTCACTAAAAAATATATATAAATGAAATAAACATCATATTAGTAATCAGTGGATCTTGCAAATCTCAAAACTAATTCTTAACAGAATTTATATCCACAGGTCTCCTGTACCATTCTCTTCAGAAGCTGAATTCTGCTTTATTGTACAGATACATGTAATACCATCCCAATCTATAGTGTGTAAAGTCCCTGGGTGGTGGTGTTCCATGTGCTAGAGAAAAGACAGGATTATAATTTGGGGTATTGTAGCCATGGTGACTAAACAAGGCAAAGTATGCAGGGAAAAGATATTTTTAAATAGATCAGCTGATCTATGGTAATGTGTATGTATCATGGTTTACAGAGAACTGCTCTATGCTTTAAAGTTTCACTTTGCATAAAGATATCAAATAGAAGAAAAACAATGTTCAGATCACTGAACATCCATTAAAGGGAAGATTCAGAGAGGTTGTTTATTGCCCTAACTGTGACAACAGTAATGTATTGTAGTTTCAAACTATTCTAGATCCTTATTTTGTGTCCATTTGTGCAAGGGCAAGAATAGATTTCAAAGCAGTTGCCAAGATTTTGCCCTGGCAGTGCAACTAGAGATGAAGAAACTTGAGAGGACTTTCTCTGATTGTTTTGCAGCCTTTGGTCACAGTGAAGACTTTGCTTAAAACTTCGTTGTTGCTAACAGATCTTGTTTGACTGGACTGGGTTATTAGGAACTCAGCATCTACTTTTATTACCCTCAGAGTGTATTTGCTGAGATTTGCTTTTTTGAATTGTTAGCATTATTATAGTAATGTTTTCACTGTTCAGGCAAGACGTTCAGCAAATTTTATTACGGAAATGAGTTTCATTTGTTACTTGGATTTATTGCCTGAATGACTTCAAGGCTTTTATTCCTGGAAAGTCTCAGGGACTTCTTCCAGCTCGGTCATGACACGTATGGGGCTGACTTGGGAAGGTTAATAGCACGTGGAACAAAGTTCTGGTGAGCTTCTCGGTCACAATTTTCATTTTAACTCAGACGTTATTAATCCAAATTCTGTCTTTCCATCTGTACTCATAGACATTGAAAGATTTTGAGAAAACACATAGTGAGGGTAATTTCATCTTCATATGTTCATGATCTTTGTTTTGTATGTTTAGACTGTATATTTAAGAAGAAGGTTCGAATATCATAATTTGAGTGAGCCATTGTATATTAGTGTGTGGGCAAGACATTTCCACTACATCACTGTGTGTATCCTGCTGCAATACTGGTATTGCAAAGTTTGGACTTATGTCATTACAATGATGAATCTTTTAAAATTTTTCATTGTGCTAATTACCACTAAAACTTCTCTTTCAGGATGTATATTTTAAGGATGGTTTAGATATGCGTGGAGATTAAAAAAAAAACAAAAAACCTAATTACTTAATTATCCTGGATTAGAGGCGATTACTTCATGTTAATTGTAAATAATATTGTTAATATTAATTAGTAAGATTATTCCTGATAAAAACATAATTTTTCAATCACAGGATCATGAAGTTAGACAAATGTGAAAAACACCAATTTTTCTTTTAAGTATGTGTTTTTTTCAATTTAGATACTTCTGAAAGTCTAGTCTTAAAACAAGCATGAAATTTGCTTATTAAGTTCTGTGATTCAGCTTTAAATACTAGGTAATGACCTCTGACAACAGGGACCCCTGGTAGAAGAGTCTACGCTTCTTTAATTGTAGTGGGATGAATGATTGTGTATGTAAAGTGCATGCCTGTTAAGTCCTGATAAGTACTTGATAATAAACATTTTTCCATTTCATTTTGAGTTAGTTTGTCAAATCGGGTATCTGTGCCAATTAAAACAGCAGCTGAGGTATGGAATGGAAAGTAGGAAGCAACAAAGCTTTGAAAATACTTCCATAGAAAAACATGGACCAATCTTGTAGTGTTTTTTACATTAGTATTTTGGAAATACTTTTCCAGTGTTTTTAACTGGTGGTCCTTTGGTCAGTGTTTGAAATAGAGCTTTCTAAGTCTTAAAAAGATTAATATTTCAAGCCTAATTTGTGGGCTTGCAGATATAAGAGCCTCCTAATAACTGGTAGGATATCATTGTAGTTGCAAAATGATAAATCATAATATACTATGGTTTTGTTATATGCTTCTTGGCTATTTGATTTGATCTCTTGTGCTTTAATTAATGATATTTTCATTTGGTTTTCACAGTGTTTTCAGGATTTTTTTTAACTAGTCATGAAAATAATCCTAAAAAATAAATGGCAAACTTGCAAATGTATGGCTGATTTTCATCTGTGCGGACCCAGGTTTACAGCTACAGTTTCAATTTACTCTGAATCTTTTGTGGAGCATGTGATGGGGTTTGGAGAAAACAATCTAGCTTGAGTACAGCACGTTTTTAAAGGGATCATGTTGTAAACTCAGAACACTGGTGGTGTGTTTTGTTTAGAGTTCTGTTTCAACAAAGAAGACCTACTTTGACTGTTTGAACACTGCCTCATTTTATTCCTATTAGAAAGCGCCTATACAAAAGTCTCTGTCGTTTTTTTTTGTAGTACCTAGTGAAGAAGCTTTCTGATGGTTAAACAAACAGAAATATCAGTGTAGCTTAATTTTTTATTTTGATGTCTTTCTTGCAGAGGAGATGATTTATGATGATGTTGAAAATGGTGAAGATGGTGGAAACAGCTCCCTGGATTATGGGTGGAGTTCAAGTGAGTTTGAAAGCTATGAAGAACAAAGTGATTCTGAGTGTAAAAATGGAATTCCCAGCTCCTTTTTGCGAGGCAACCACAAGAGACATGTATGTATCCCCATCGTGCTGCTCAGTGATGGAGATTGTTCTGATTTTCAACACCTGTCTTTCTCAGCTGTGTTTCCCTCCTCCCCAGTACAGTTTCAGATACCAAGAATGTCTTTTTGAGAGACATGAATCAGTGTGGGAGTGAATTCACAACACAATATGGCAGGGGAGAGAAAAATCATAACCAAGAACTCCATAAAATAAATTCTCAAATTGAATAAAAATGTAATTAAAAATGGGATGAGTTTTTCCTCTTGGGCTATTCCTCACCTTTTCTTCATTTGCAGCTAATAGATTAGTGCAAGTGATAAATTGTGAAAAATAACGTGAAGATTGAATGGATGACCCTGAAAAACATCCCTCAGGTGCTCAAGAACGTTCCCTCTCCTTTTATCTTAAATCTGCATCGCTTTTGCTTGAAGGTCACTATGCTTCAGTAGAAAAGATTTTGTGCTCAGAGAAAAGCCCGTATCATTCAGTAAGGAGAAAAAGATGGTGTTTTGGAAATGATCTATCTGCTCCATCTCTGCGTCCTCTGATCTAATACCTTTGGCTGCATCTGTGCTGTAAGAAGCAGGAGGAGGAGGACGTGGGTATGTGTCGTCTGTGCCCTCACGGTGCATGAGGAGCAGACCTGGCCTGCTGCAGCTCCTCTCCTCTTGCCTTCATGCCCTTTCTCTGAGCAGAAATTCCCACATGGGACCTGAGGGGCTGCATGGTGCTTCCTGCTGCAAGTCCCTGCTCCCAGGGGCCAGAGCAGCGAGGTGCACAGCAGAGCCCTGCAGTGTCACTGAGCGAGGGAATGGGGTGCAGTCTGTGAAACCCTCAGCATTTCCCTGCCTTATACTAATGAGTGATGGACACTGTGAGCCACTTCACAACTGGTACCATGAGAGTCCAAAATATTCCAGCTGCCTGTAGTACGGTTAGGAAGTTGTAGAGCAGGACCCACATGTAGGACAGCGCAGCAATAGAAGGAGGAAATGCTGCTGGCTGAGAGCTGAATCTGTGTGTTCTGTCTCTGCTTTTGTAGTGAGAACCATGCTTTCTTTTTTTAGCTGCTTTCTGCTTCCTTAGTTCTAGATGTTTTTTGCTCTAATTTAAGTACTGCTTTCGTTTCCATCCTCATTTTTGCACCTTTCTTTCAGGGAATGCAATCCCAGTAAAGTTGCACTTTCAAACAAAATGTACAAGAAGGATCAAAACTAGGGAAGTTGCTCAGGACGGCAATGCTGAAGACGCCCTGTATATTCTTTCGCAGGACCCGTATTTTGATTTTGCAGGTTTCTTTTTCTTAGTGAAAATAAAAACCTTTCCGTATACTTTTCCCCCCAGTACCCAATATCTCCTTTTCCTGACCTCCATCCTTGCTGACAGCCCTTCAGAAATCAGGGAGTGAGCAATTAACTGAAGGACTCGATCTGCTCAAATCAGCACTTTGTAAGTTGAGTGCTGCTGACTTTGTGTTTTTGTTTTTCTTTTGCCCTGACTAGAACAAACTCCAGCTTTTGCAGTTATTTTTTTCTGGGATGTTTTTGAACTAGACTGAAGCAAATTGAATTTAAGTTGACTTTGAATACCTTTGGAAGAGACTGGGAAAAACTTTACATGCAAGCATGTGTGTCTTAACATGGCTGCTGATTTGTTTGTTTGTTCTTTAGTATTTCTTTTTTCTGTTTTATGTGCCTTCAACTTTGGCTGTAGTTATAGGAATCTGTATAGCATGCACAGAGCAAACTTTAAAACCACTAAATAACATTTACTTCTCCCACAGGGAGTATTTGAAATGCCCTGAGATGATGGTGCCAGGAATATGCAGAGGGTGCCTGAGGATGAGACTGATGAGCAATGGGAGGGAAGGGGCATCCTGTGGGGTGGCTGCCATACAGCTGGATTTTCCATATCTGTGAAAAAAGGTTCACTGCATTTCCAGACTTGTGACAAGAGGAGCTGCGTTTAAGGGAGATGGGGATAAGGTGTCGAGAAACACGTTAGTTGGGGGATGCAGAAGTCAAGAGACTCCCTCACATGGGTGAGAATTTACAGAAGGATGAGGAAAGACAGAAACTGTGGGATTGTCAGGGTACAAAACCTGCACAGGCTTTGCATAGAGGCAAGGAGCACTTCCATTTCTATATACCCATTCCCTGTATCCACTCCTTTCACTATCCTTCACTTCTCCTCCTGTCCTGCAGTAGATATTGCAGTATTTTCTAAGCATGTCTCCTTGTACAGTCTTCCAGAGCTTCTGGAAGAACTGGCTTGCTATTGCTTGTGTCCATTGAAGAGTAAAGGCAGGTTGGTGGCATGATCTTAGTTGTAAGTGAATATAATTTCCCTCAAAGCCGCTTCTTAATTTTTTTTAAATTTTTTTTAACAACTGAGAAGTATTTGCACAATTAAACGTTTCTTGGTTGTGAACCACAGACTGTTCTTGATTATCCTGGTGTGATGCCAGAGTCATAGTGATCCCTGAATTACACCTTGACCTGTAGTAGTGGAGCTGAAGCCATACTTGCCCCTTTGTGTTCAGCTCTGTAGGCATTCCCTTTCCTTTCACTTTGATCTCTTGCCGAGGAATTCTTTTGACATCAACCTAAAGTTTTTTTCCATTGGATTTCTTTTCTATTATGAGACACATCAATTATTTTTTTTCTTCCTGATAACATTTCTACAGCTTTTATCCAGCTTTCTCAAAAATATTTAACATATTACTTAGTATTCCAAAGTATTTATCCTAGATAGTCCCTTCACCTTGCAAAAGGATGTATTAATCCATGAGGTGGTTATGCCCCAGACCATGTGGGTGAGGCTGCGACGGAGCTGACGTGTGCTTCCTGATGGACTGCTGTGCCACTTACAGGATTATGGATCCTTCCCACAAGATTCTTGTTTCGCAGCTCACTCGCACTGTAGTGTTCTCAGGTGCTCGCAGCCTCTGCACATAGTTCTGCTGGTATTTGCCCTTTGAGAATTCTTCTGATTCACCACGTTGAAGTACAGTGAGAAATACACTTGCTGGGATTCATGCTTAAAAAAAGGGTCATAAAGTTAATAACTTTGTCTCCAAATGGTTTGTAAGAGATAGGCACTGTGTGTATTTAATGCAGTCAGCTTAGACTAAGTGACTTTGTCTCTGTCTTTACATAGTTGCCAGTGTACCACAAACATGCCAGGATGAGGCACAGTAAGTACAGTGATATGCAGAATTCATCTTTGGAAGTCCATTCATCACACTGGAGCCGCCCTAATGGTTGTGTTCTCTCAGCTGTCTGCATGTCAGTAGGCAAGCAGGGCAACGTGCATGATGTGCTCTAGTGTTTTAGTGTAAAGTTTGCACTACAGGCTGTTTGAAAAGATTGTGTTTTTTTATACACTGTAGCTTTCTCATGACCTAACGCGTTTAAAGGAGCATTATGAAAAAAAGATGAGAGATTTGATGGCAAACACAGTGGGAGCAGTAGAGATTCAGCAACTAAAGCAAAAACATGAGCTGAAGGTAGTGTAGTTAATTTTTGTAACTAGCTATGTGTTAAATTATTGTTTTTTTCCAACATAGGCAATATTGTCATTTTGTTTTAAATAATAGCAACTTGAGTCAAAAGAGTGGGCAATAATTTATATAAAATGAGTTCTAAATGTGCTGGGTTATCATACACCATTTTAAAAGTACTTTGTCAAGGACTTTTTCCCAAGCTTCCTTTGTCATTGTAGCAGTTGTAGAGGATCAGATAGGACATTGTCCTTCCCCCCTGCCAGGGCGTCCCAGGGCCTGAGCCCAGGCAGGCAGCCCCGGCGCCTCTGTGAAACGCCGGGAGGCAGCTCCTGACCCCTCCACTCTGTCCGTATCGGATCAAATGGTAGCACTGCCCCGTCCTGAATGGAGACAACATGAGAAGGCTGTGTTTTTGCTAAAAACTTCATCTCGAAAGGAGAAATTGCCTGATTACAGCCCAGTAGCTTTGTTTTCGTTCTGATGTGGTTGAGGATGTCGGCGCAGTTCTGGCACTAGTATTATGTTTTTGCTGTGGCTGCATTCAGGAACGCAGACTACAGAGCAGTTTTAATGAACATTTCCTAACAACACTCCTTTCTACTTAACATAAAATCTCTTTTCTAATGTACTACTTTGTAATAAAACGATACTTACTACTTAATTAAATTAATTTCTTCAATTAATGAAATTATCAATTCCATTTTTTTTTTTCTGCAAAGTGCAGTGTTTGGAATATAGCTGATTTAGAACTGAGTCTAGGAGGTTGCCTTAGACCAGAAATACTTTGGCAGTGTGACAGATACCATTGTAAGATGATCTAGAACACTGGTGGTTAATGCTAGTGTTCCTCGCACTTATTTGCCCTGTAACTTAAAACAGGATTCTTGAGACCATTTCAAGTTCAGATGTTTCGAGCAAACGGATTCTTAAAGCATTTCTGCTATTTTGGAGGTTACATGCAAGGTTGCCATAAGCCCCTTCCTCCAGGTTTGATTTTATAAAGAAAAAGTACAGATGCACCAACATGAGGGTTGCTGGATCTGTGAACTTACCGTGTAGTTCTTTGACTTTGGGCTATATTTAGAACCCAAACTACTTGACAATGTTCTTTTAAAAGATGTTTTGATCAAAAGTATTCTGCTTGGTGTGTTCGAATGTGTCCTATTATTTTCAGGCCATGTAGATTGTATTTTCTATCCTACAGATGCAAAAGCTCATGAGAGCTGCTAGAGAAGGTACCAAAGACGGACTTGAAAAAACAAAAGCAGCTGTGAAAAAGGGTCGTTCTTTCATTAGAACTAAATCTTTTATTTCTCAAGGTATGTGTCAATTATACTATGTTTACATTACTCTCTTTAGTTCATACCTGTAAAAAAGGAAGAGAATGATCTAGCTTTTATTGTACTGTAAACTGAGTACTGGATGCTTGAAATCAGCCTTTATATTGATAAAACATCTTATAACAATCAAGTTCATATAATGGTATGGGCAATGATGTTTGAGCAGTTTTAGATTTGGCATGCAAATGCCAACAACCTGAGAAACCCAAGGACTGCATAGAAGGTTGTTCTGGAGCGGGGGGAGGAAAGAAAGAAAGAAAGAAAAAAAGCATCATAGGTGCTCTCTAGATTGGATATTGGCAAATAGGATAGTGGAGATCAAGCTGAAGTACTAAATCTAGTTCTCTTCATCAAATAACTCTTGAATAGCAGGGCAACTGTATATTGCTATATAGTTAGCAATATAGTGTGCTGTTATGACATGGTTTTCAGTGAAGTGATAGCTGACTATTTAAGAAGGCTCTAATGAACAAAGTATAATAAACACTTATTATATGTAAAAGAGGAAACGAGAGGGAGAGCGTTTTGCCTTGTCACAGTTTGGTGATCTTGGCAGAAGCTGCTTTTGAATTGGGAATAGTATACTGCGCAGGATAAAGACGTCTCAATGCAAAAAGCTAAAAGTATTTAAATTCTTTTTCTAGTTAAGAACAGAAAGCAGCTCCTTGTCATGACCCTCAGCAACAGCAGTAGGCCAAAGTTATCCCTGGGTTGAGTGAGGGGGTGGGAGTGATAACTGAATCCAAACTTCTTCCTTCTTTAGAGAAAGTGTGGGAGTCTGTCTGTCTGCTGACGTACCAGCTAATTGAATGGCAGCAACTTCAGAGCTTGTAAAACTGCAGTCATAAGAGTTTAAAGCCACACAAGACTAGAAGAAGAAGTTTTTTAGTAGGTGAGCTAAAGAAAATGAATTAATGTAAGGCTGCTTTCCGCCGGTAAGGACCAGCAGTCAGCTTATACACTCACCGTAGCCTCTAACAGGTTCTGAACGTAGAGAGTTCACAAGCAGAAAATAGAAAGTTCTTGCCCAAATATATCTTCACCCTCTCGCTGTTGAAATTGCCTCCATCTGTAGGGCTGGCTTGCAATGGCTGCGACTTTCGTCCTTGCATTCCTAGAGGTTGACTAGCAAGGTTAGGTTATCTGTGGATGGTTTAATCTCTTAGCCACTTACCAGGTCAGCAGGGGTCTGGTAATGAATTGCTCAATTAAACTCATAAATTCCACTGCTAACAGAACCGTTTCCCTTAATTCCCTTTCTCTTGCAGGCTGTGGTTTCTAATGTCCTTTCTCAGCTCCTGTCTGGGTGCTTGGGTGGCTGCATGCTGCCACCTATCACTGCAGTTTGGTGGTGCTTTTTAATACAATCAGTAGCACTGAGAAGTACATAGACAACATAGAATATCTTACTCTTGTTCCTTACAAACACCAACATTTTCATATGTTTGTTGCTTATTTAAATTCCATTTATGGAGAACTATATGACCTTTCTTAAGCTTGATCATGTGGAGGTATTTAATTTTTTCCTGAAAGTTCCATTCTGGTAGCCCAGTGCTCTGGGCTGTGAAGATGAAGGCAAGGTCAAGAAAAGATGCACAGGTTGCCACCTGCTGTATGGATTCTAGGATTTTGAGATACCTTTTGAGATAACAACTTGGTGGTTAAAGCATTCAGATATTCTACATTACAGCACACATCAATGCTGAGTGTGATTTCACAGATGTTACAGAAATGCTGAGAAATTTCATCTATTTGAGTGCAAATAAGAGTACTATGTAATTACTGACCTCAGGAGATAGGATCCTTGTCGCTTTTTTTGTTTGTTTCTTTTTCTTTTGTTCTTTTAAACCTGCATGTTACACAAATGGACATATTCACTCTTCAATTATTTATAGACCATAGATCATCATGTCTGGAAGAAGAAGAGCTGAATTTATTTATTGATGTGGACTGTATGCACACAGAAGCAATTATGACCCCTATGCCTGAAGGACTATCCCAGCAGCAGGTAGGAGGCTTTTGGGAATCTCGTCGTCTTTCTCTTTTTTTTTTTTTTTTCCTCTCTTCTGCATCAATGGCTCACAGGTGCTTTTTTCTTCAAACATATTGATCTCTAGCTTAAGTTAAATGGTGAGCAAATTCAGACCTGAATGAGTATGAGCATTTCTTGAAAACTGGTATTTGTGCGTATAGCTGCACCTGTCCTGGAATCAGCAAGAAGCACAAAATGTTGGTTTGCATTATAATATTATTATCCTATAAAAATTATATTGCTTTCTGAATATTTAAATGTGAGAAGGTTTTCAGAAAAGAAAAAGAAGTGTTCAAACTTTTTCCTCAAGTCAGAAGATGTTGCAGGTGCTCTTGGACTTCTATTTTAAATGTAGATATCCTGCATATTTTCTAAATCTTAATGTTTCTTCTGATTTGCAAAATTTGCTTGCAATATGTCAGTTCTACAGAGGAGTAGATCTTGCTGTTCTCCATTCAAAGTCTGTAGTCACTGCAGAGGCCACTTCAGAAAATACAGAAATCAGTATCAGTCAGAAGTTTTGGTTGAAAATAATCCTGTGGGTATATGTTAGCCCCTTATTACGCAAGGTAATAAAGAGCTAATTTTTAGCTTCTTTTGGTCTTAAGTCCTGTGTTGGTCAGTACCTTCAGAAAATGGTAAGTAAATCAGCGTTGCATTATTATAAGATTTCCTTATATTGCAAGATTCCAACATCAATCTGAATGCTGCATTTTCCTTCTTTCCAAATATGTGTTTGAGAGTCTTACTGACTTTTAGTAAGTAGCTAAAAATGAACATACCCACTTCAAGAAAAAAAAATCAGAGAGGATTCTTTCTTTGATATAAACTAGTAATTGTTGTGGAGGTCATGGTGTATGTTATGAATCTACTAAGAGCACTAAGTGATGTATTTGGTAACTCCGTAATATGTGTGCTTTATTTTGGGTTTTCAGTTCTAAAGAAGTCCCTGCTTATGGCAGTAAGGCAGCAAAGAAAGTGTCCAGTAGGTTCAGGAAAGATTCTTCCTCCGTGACTGTGTTTATTGCTTGGCAGTGCAGTACAGATTGCTGAAAAAGTCTGTCTGTCATAGCTGAAATTACAAAACTGATGCTGAGTTGGCAGAGAAAATTCAAACTCAGCACAAACTGAACTGACTTAACTGAGAGCCCTGAATAATCTGGAATCAGACGAATGGAAACAGCTAGTTCCTTGGTGCCCAAAGAAATGGGAAGATTTCCAAAAAAGATAGTCAGATACAAGAGGCCTTTCTGGCACAGGAGAATTAAAATTCCCCACTGAAGTCTCCCTACAACACCAACAGATTTAGAATACTGTTAGTGTCTGGCGGTGTATGGGGCTTTTTTTAAAGTTTTGAAAAGAAGTGATGAGAGTGATATCTGAAGACCTTAAGTAGAGAGTGGATTTGGTCCAAATGGAAATGAACCCTCATTTAAAAAAAAAAA